GATTGATATACATACCTGATTATTATCACGCCGCATGTTAGAGTCTTCCAGGCATTGGAGCGTGGTAGAAAAAGCGATTTATAATGATGATTGAATGCCCGACGTGTAGGTCGGTAAATGAGCTTCTCATGGAACTGTGCTGCTACCATAGGATCATGACAGACGCCACTGGACCGCTCTTGTAATAGGGATCTGCATTTATCCCCTTATCAGTTTGGGAAAGTAGTACTTTTTTATGCGAGATGAGGATCAGTGGTAACTGTAGCTTGCTGTTTAAAAAAATCCGTCAGTGAGGACAGGACGAAGGTGGCTAACCTACTGAGATAAAGTCGTTCCTTCTCCAGAATTTCTTTTCGAACATGAATGGCAGGGATAGGTGTTTCGGAGAACAACATCTTGCCTTCACTCCTCATAGCGTCGCAAGTGGTTGTCTGATCTATGGGACAACCTACTTTGTGCATGTGGACTCACAAGATAGGCTTGAAACCGAAGAGTTTTGTGAAAGTTTGTCCTGCACTGCCACCTTCACGATGACGTTCACTGGACCACTCGTCTCTGTAACAGGAAGAACGTTCATTCAGATAAGCGGATGGTGTGAGATCAAGAGATGCAACACAAAAGCCTCGGATGAGAGAAGTCTAAACTGCGTCCGTATTTCCTACGATTACGCGCTGTAAAATGTGGTGGCTGTCTGTGTGTACCTTCGTCTCTTTCTGGAAAACCTAATTCACTTCGGTCATACTCGTGCAGGTCTGGCAGGTTTGTTGTTCGAATCCAACTCCGGGCATCTCGGCCACTCCTGTTCAGGCTTGGATAACATCATCTCATCTCAGCCGTCGTGTTCCTTCGGATGGCATGCCGGATATACACCGATGGGATGTTACGGCTGAACTACTGTCATCGCTTCCGACGAATGTTCGAATCCAACTCCGGGCATCTCGGCTACTCCTGTTCAGGCTTGGGTAACCTGACATCATTTCAGTCGTCGTGTTCCTTCGGATGGCATGTCGGATATACACCGATGGGATGTTACGGCTGAACTACTGTCATCGCGATAGTTCCGACGAAGAAGACTTGAATGCCCTAGTTGTAAAGGAATGCAGGAATTTGTCTACCTCTTTCAAACAGAGCAGTTTGAGTAATGAAAGAGCCAGTTTAATAGTATGATGTCTTGCCACGGACATTTTGATCACATTTCAGTCGTTACTTCTCTGACGGCATGTACGTTTTATTAGGAACGGCATATCTGCCATGATCCAAAGAGTCATGTCATGTGGATGAGGAAGCTTCGGAACCGCCGAGCTGTCGTTGCGCCAAATAGAATCACCAAGTGATGTCACCCAGGTGATGAGTGGATTCGGATGGAACCAAGACTATGCTGAATAGTGAGGAGGAAACTGCGAAGAAATGTAAGCAAGTTGAAAGGATGTAGTATGGAACAGCATCACATAGATCGTCAATCAGGCAGGTGTATTCTTGACGGAACATACTACTCACATGGTTGGCGAAAACCCCTCGATAGCCCACGACCGGTTTCGATATTCTTGGGGCTCGTCATGTAGCCACAGTTCCCCGAATTCTTGCCAACCTTATGTCCTACTTGAACCCAAATTGGACGAACTTCGTCGAATACCCTCAGTTGCACACCAATTCGGGGACTGTGACTATCAGAGGGGCCCCAAGAAGGACGAAACTGGTAGTGGATTGTCAAACAGTTTTCAGCAACCTTGGCCTCCATTGGGGATAGTAGAATCGAAATATGTCAGTTGTGGCATTTTGCTCACTAATCCAATGACAAATCCAGTGTCTAAGGCAAGTTTTGCGCTCTCAATGAGCCAAACTAGCTCGCGATGTTGAGGATTATCACCTTTATTTCAGCTGGAGTTAGGTGACCGCAAAAGGAAGATTAATTGATGAGTTGTTCGCAGAAATGTATTTTTTAAATGCCCAATCCACCAACAGTCTGTAATTGGCTCAGGGAAAGAATAATTTCATAGGATGAATGAGACTTCCATCTGAGAAGTCCTCACTCGGAGAGCTAGTCAACACGTGCCTGAATGCGAGTTAATCATATTGCTGATCAGCCTTTCGACACGAACATGTAAGTGTTCAAACTACTAGCGGGGTGGTCGCGGACTCTACATTTCCTGATGTTTTGTCAAATGCGCACCGCTAATGGTTCCCAGTAGGGACGAAACAGCTGTACAGGGGTTCTCGGCTTATCAGCATAGATTGACTTCACTTACAGGACAAAATCACCAAACTTCAAACTATCCTCAGCACAATCGATTAGTCTGACATTTAGACGGTGTATGTCCAAAGTACAAGGCACTGATATGATGTTTGACCTCTGCCCACCGTGATATCCAAAATCTTTAGATAATTAGCACGAAGGTTTGTCGAAAGAGAATGTTATGGGAGATCACTTACGGGCATACATACTGCTATCTAGAATCTTTTCAGCCAAGCCGATCCTCGCACACTACTGGGATTGAACAGAGAGTACTCTTCTGGGAGAAGTCCCCTCTCCTGGTGGGATTGGGTTCGGAATGAGCCATGATGTATCGAAATTCTGTGATCGGAAGTGAATTCTTGACCGAAATTGGGCCTGATCTCATCGCCTGCTTGCTAGCCGAAGTGCAACGAACCTGACCACAGTCCGTAGACAGCTGTATTTCACAAAGTGCACTGCCTTACTAGATAGTGTTTTGCTATACGGAAGGTCACTAGACAGAGTATGGTGCGAGATGCAATCCTATCTAGACCAAACTAGACAGCGACGGTCAAGTGTGCACATGCTTGCCGTTGACTGGACGGTGCGTACAATCCACACGGTCCCATGCAATGAGCGCTTTGAAGTGTTCACCTTTCAACGTCTGACTTCGTTCGCGACAGTAAAAGCAATCATATGAAGACAGACTTTATTTTATTTTGATGTGTTATCCAATTCAATGTAGTAGATATTCGTGGTCCAATTTGACCATCTCGCCCAGGTTTACTGTTTCACGCTAGTGAAGCGTCCGGTGAACAGCGAGTTTCATGGCTGGTTTTCATCTTTGGTAGTAGAATCTCAATACAATCAACATGGTATTATCTACTTCCTCAGAATCGCCACAACAATAAATGGAAATGAGCGAATCGCTCTTTTCATGACTTGCTGTTACAGCAAGGATCCGGCCATTGACCACTCGGCGAACAGCATTTCTGATTTTTGTTTGACCCTCAGTTCGTGATCACTACTGTTTTGTGGTACGAGCGATCCGGGGTGTGTTTTGAACCGGGCCATCACGACGATGCCTGGATACTTCTCCGAAAACTTGGACGGTGGAATGCCAGTTCTAACCAAACAGTATCTTATCATAATATCCATGTAGTTTCGAGACGGTAGGCATAGTTTCGTAAAGATCTTCAGTGTCTCCAGCCTTACAAACGTATCTTTAGCTATTTCAACCCGATTGGCAGCATTTTTAGCGGAGAATGGGGGCATTTTGAGTAAGGTTCATTGCGTCATTTTATTTGAAGCGCCCTGTCCCATTCTTACTTGACTTCGATGCAGACGTATTCACTTCTTATTGCAGAGTATTGATCCCCTATTGGCCTGTAGCATAATTCGGCTGTGATTCAAGACCCGATGAAAGTCACATCTGCAACGAAACCGACATGCTGCCAACTCAAATTAGTTAGCCAAAGTCCGCAGCACGACCTTGTGGCACTGGACATTTGCGACAGCCTCTTTAAGTAGCAAAAGACGTCAACACTGTTGTCTCGTGAAAAAGGTCATTTCTTTTCATTTTAAACAACGTTTAAGTTTATCAGATGTCTATGGATCTATTGGTTACTTGTCTGGCTAGCAATTCCGATAGACTGATAGTTTGGTTCGTACGCATTTAAACACTGTGCCATATGTCACGATTGTCTAAGCAGAGTCACTGAGACTTTCTCATTTTACTATTTTCCCAAAAGGCATCCCCACATAGACCAACAGTGTTCGCGGCGGTTCCGCGATACCGCAGTCCATAAGACCAACTATGATCTGAGTGTCGACTAGTTCCGATAAGTCGATCTGCTGAAACTTTGATCACTATGAAACTGATTCCGATCGTTCCAGTTTTTTCGATTACGTCGAACAAACCGCCAACCATCCGCGGTTCGGTTAGAACCACATCGTCCGTGGTCACATATTCTTCGTTGATCTTCTTGGACCAGTCAGTGATTTCATCTATTTAGAATTATCAGATTTTTCCCCACCTGTCATGCAATCGTTCTTGTTCCACTGACAACCTCAAGTGATGTCATATTGTTCAAGCCTGAAGTAGTGAATCGCAGTTCATATCCGAACAGTTCACAGAATACTGGCGTTGATATACCTTTAGACATGTGCAGTTCTCTGCCATAGCCCGCATTCTAACGGTCGGGTGGCATCATCCAGATCTCGCTAAAGGATCATGAAGAGAAGATGTATGACGATGTTACTCTACCGAACGACTAGAAGTCTTAATGTATCCAGGAGATACAGAGATCGGTCTTCAGTTGTTTCCACGTGCACCTAGGAAGCGACAACAGGTAACAACAGAACCCTATGAGGATGTCAAAGAAAGATTAGCGTCTGTGGGACATTCTAATACCAGGTGTTGATGCCAGATGTACTTTTTTCGAACAGATTGAATCCTGAGAAGCAAAAAAGGATAAACGTATGTCAGAAAGTACTTGACGCTGACGGATCCATCACGCTCATCTTCATGTTTTTCTCCAGCTGAACTACGATTATGTTTCCATAGAGCGACTGCAACAAATTCTACGTTGGACAAACTGGGAGAAAATTATGTACACGAATAAAGGAACACAACGCGGCTGTCAGGAGACATGACCCCCTGTCCTTGATATCCATACACGAGGACCAGGAAGGCCACAAATTCAACATGGAAAACGCGAAAATTTTGGCATACGGAGACACGCGACACGGAAGAGAATTTCTGGAAGCATGGTACTCTACGACAGGTTCAATAAACCGGTGCATCGAACTGGATCCAATTTACGCACCTCTACGCGCGAGAGATCAACGTCGCAACCGAAACACTCAAGGAGGACCGAATAATGGATTCACAAACGAAGAAACAAGGAACTCCTCGGAGTCAAATCAATGAGGTCACAACCGGAACTCGGAAGGACAAAGGTCACTCCAACATCGACTAGACTACGACGGCGAGGGATGTCAAGTTCAAAAGTCACGTGGGCATCGGCGAATGAGGACACGGGATAAAAAGAACAACCAATGGAACCGCCCGACGGAATAACTAATCGCGGTCAAAGGTCATCCTCGGCTACCAGCACGTATATCAACACACACGTAACACTACTGAACGCACAACCACTAACCCACCGCTACGCACAACTACGCACTGATGATGTCACCTCGATTGGTGATGAAACGTTTGCAATCAAATTGCCCAGCTCAGCGAACAAGCCAACGACCACGACTGGGTTTCCTCTGACCTGATTCCAGAATCCTCCACGGAAGTAAAGTTGCTCGTTCGAAGGTAGTATTCTACCTTGTCTTGCTGAGGTAACTCGGGTGACAGTACTCTTCCCCTGAAGTCGATATTTGTGCCCCGGTATAACCAACTTTCACAAGTCAGATGTTTAGCGTTCCTTGTGGTTGAAGTACCGACTGACCAGTGAGTTCTAATCCAGCATGTCGGACGTTATACTTTTGCTATATCCAATAAACGAAAGTCAGCTGATTTTGGGCCACAA